GTATAAAGGAATTCACAGAATGCTAATCAAATTTACCAATGACACAAAATTAGAAGAGAATGCTGGGAGAAAGTGGATAGGTTAACCATGGTCATCCGTAGGTTGGATGAAAGAGTCAGAATTCAAGGAGATCTGCCTGGACAGGGTAGCTCATAGGGTTGCATTCCAGTAGATGAACTTGAATGAATAGATAAAGCATGTATTAAGCACTTACTTGGTACCAATACTGTTCTAATACTTGAGGTTATAAAAAAATCAACTTCACAAGTACACGATGAGGGAGGTGTTGCTAGGCATCTCAAAAAATATCTAGTTTCAGTGGTTGCAAGCTCATTACAAGGCAACAGATGATATGGTAACCAAAAAAAGCTAATGCTATCTTGGGCTGACTCGGGGGATTGATAGTATCTAAAGCTAGAGAGGTAAAAGCCCTACTGTGTGTATTCTCTCGTTACTTTGTATTTGGAGTGTTGAATTCAGTTCTGGGTGTCCATTTTAGGAAGAGTACTGATAAGATGGGAAATACCCAGAGGACGGTAAGGGATGGGAGAGCTTACAGTAAGGAGTCTCACAATTATCCTATAATCAAGAATTGGTTGAAGGAACGGGGCATATTTAAGCTGCAGAAGAGGACTACAGAGGGACATGATGATTCTCTTTAGGTATTTGAAGGCTCCTCATGTAAAAGAGGGATTAGACTCAGAATTGTTGGGGGTTTTTTAAGTGAAAATTGTAATATTTTTCCCAATTACATGGAATGGCAATCCTTAAAATTCTTTTTCTTTTTCTTCTTTTTAATTTTGAGTTCCAAATTCTCTCTCTCCCTCCCCTCCCCAAACTTGAGAAGGCAAGCAATTTAACCTAGATTATACATGTACAGTCATGCAAAACATATTTCCATTTTTGCCAGGCTGCAAAAGAAAACACAGACCGAAAAAAAAAAACCAACTCAAGAAAAATAGAGTTTAAAAAAGTATGCTTCGATATGCATTCAGACTCCACTGAGAATCATTTTTTGTTGGTTCTTTTTTGTTTTCTTTTCTTGGCTCCAGAGGAGGATAGAGAGCCATGGGTGGGAATAGTGGAGTGGCAGATTTAGGGTAGAGACTGGGCGAAACTTCCTAACCAAGTGGCGGGAAGTCACTCATCTGGGGCGTGGCATCAAGGGTGGAGGACAGGGCTATCTTGACGAGTGACTCTTGTTTAGGGTTTAGTTGGATTATGTACCCGCTGAAGTTCTGGAATCATCTCCTTCATTTACCCACAGTCCCTTCCATTCCTCCTTTAACCCCAGGCATCTAATTTACAAGGGAAATGTCCACGCCTACTTAGAGCTTGGAATACACATGGGTCTCGGCCAAAGTGGGAATTTGTTTTGCTTAACTATGTATATTCATTAGAAGGCCTTTGTTTTTCTTTCTGCTTTTTTTTTTTTCTATTGGGGGACAGCATGGGAGGGAAAGGGGGAAATAGGAATAAGGAAGTGAAAAGAGAAGAGGGTTCTTTTTTTGTTAATGGAGCAAAAAGAACAGGAATTCCCAGAAAGTGGCACAAACTGGACAGCTCTGAAAGCTACTTTTTAACTTAATGGACTTCACAACAAAAGAAACGTACAGAAAAAGGATCTGTAGTTGCTTGTACAATCTTCTTTTCTGGTCCTGCTACGCTTAAGCAAATGTCCATTCTAATTCATGTTTGTTAGGTTCAGAATAAAAATTAATAATAATTAAAAAAAAAAAGAAAAAACTGTGTCAGTTCATATGACACCCAAACCACAGGGTTGGAGGCACAGGTAGGATCTTGGTTGCTGCTCTAAGACAAAAATGTACCGGTGGTGAAAAGCAAGAATGTGACTTGCTTAACCCACTCCATTCCTACTAGTGGAGAAGAAAGCCAAGTTCCATGTTCTAATAATAAATAGCTTACATTTATATAAATCTTTACATACATCTGATCCTCATAACAATCCTGAAAAGTAGGTGCTATTGTTATCCTCCATTTTATAGATGAGGAAACTGAGGGTTAGAGAAAGGTCATGCAGCCAGTAAAGTGTCTGAGCCAGGATTTGAATGCATGCTTCCCTGATGCCAAATCTGGTGCTCCATCCATTACACCACCTTCCCCCTGATGGTGCATGAGAGGAAGCATCTCTATATGAGACCCATCAATCAATACGTGTTTCTAATTGAGTACCTAGGATGTACTGGGCCCTGATGCTTCTGGACTCTCACCTCTAGAAATTTACAATCTAGCTGGGGAACAATTAGATAAGAATAAAAGGATGGAGCAGCTAAGTGGCACAGTAGATACAAGTACGGGCCCTGAAATCAGGAGTTCAAATCTAGCCTCAGACACTTACTAGATGTGTGACTCTGGGTAAATCACTTATCCCTGATTGCCTTAACAAAAAAAAAAAAAAAAGAATGAAAGGTAAAAACCCTGTTGGTGACTAGTGCAGCCTCTCCCCTTCTCCATTGGTTAAAGGCTTCCTCTTCTTTCAAGGCCCAAGTGTCTGGTGGTCTCCTCAGTGGCTCTACCCCTTTTCCTTACCCTGGCAACCTTGGACAATCATAATCCCTGGGCCTCTGGTATCTCCTCAGTACAATGGGAGGGCTGGATTAGAATTAGATGCTAAGGGCCCTACCCCCTCCACTCTCTAGAATCCAATCTGTCATCCAAGGAAAGGGCTCTGAGAATATTTGAGGTGAGTAAGAACTCTATCAAGGAGTGGGAGAGGATTCTGGAAGGCTTCCTGGAGTAGGGTGGTGCCATCTTGCTCTGGGCACAGTCATCAAATCAACAAGTAACATTGCTTCTGCAAAGGGCAAGCCAACTTACTTACTATCTCTGGGACTCCCCAGACCAAAGATCCCCTCCCTGGAGGGCACTTGCCTATTTGGGGTGTCCTTCCCTGTTAGAATGTAAGCTCCCTGAGGGGCAGGTACTGCTGGTTTTTTACATATGTATCCCTAAGGTCTGCCTTAACACAGAGAAAAGCAAAAATAGTGCTTTTCCCTTCAGGAGCTCACTGTCTAAAGGAGGAGACTTCCAAAAATCTAGGCACCAATGAGATATTGGCAGAATAAACTGGGATTTTTCAGTGCCTACCCCAGGGCAGGTACTTAATTTTAAAATCCAACTGGTTCTGGCTAGAATTTCCACTGAAATCCTAGGGCTTGAGGTTTCAGCTTTTACTTGTCACTTTTGCCTCTGGGTTTTAGCTTTCTAATCTGTGAAAGAAGGGGGCTGGATTAGCTGGTGTGTGGTGTCCCTCCCAGCCTTTAATCAATAATCTTTTCTTCTCTGGATGGGCAGGAACCCTTCCTGGCCTGCCTAGGAGACCATCCAAAAAGTTCTTATCGTCATGGCAACCTTGCGGAACAAAATGGCCCCTGGTGTTGGAAACATCAACAGAGACAGCTTTCCTAGAAAATTCTGCTTTTCTCCCCTGCGGCACAACAATGCAATCCAATTCAGTTCAAATCACTGTGCTATTGGGCTAAACAGACAAAAATGAAGGTCCCTACCCTCAAAGAGCTTACATTCAGTATTCTCTATTTCCATCAGGAAGCATTTATGAAGTACCTATTTATGTTCCAGGAACTGTGTCTAGGCCTCAGGATACAAAGAGCTGGGAAAGAAAGGCAAAAGACAGTCCCTGCCCTCGAGGAGCTCCCAATCTAAGCACATCCTCTCTCTGGGCCACAGAAAAGGGAAAAGAGAGTCAGTGTGGTACAGAAAGAGAACTGGATTTAGAGTGGGAGGATCTGAGTTCACTTACTCTGTGACCTTGGGAAAGTCACTGACCCGCACTTCTCTAAAATGGGCCCAGATGCCCTCTATGGCCCCGTCCAGTTTTAGGACCTCAGGTTAGTTTGTGAATTCTCCTCACTTCTGCCTGCCTGATGTCACTAGAGACCTTTTTTTTGGGAGGGGGTGTTGGAGAGGAGGGCAGAAATCTGTTTCTCCCTCTCTTCCTTAGAGTCTATTGGTCCTTATTCTAATGTGACTAGTGGGAGGAAATCAGTTTTTCCTCTGATTTGTTACTACATAGTCCCTTCTCTCCTGTTCCCATGCCTTGGGACAGGGCTAGATGACACTCCCCATATCATCACTATAGTCCATTGGTGCCAATTTCAATGTCCCTAGATATTATATATATATATGATATATATTATATATAACATATACACACACATATTTTCATATATACACACATATACACATACACACACACACATATATATATACATATATCTCTCTCTCCATGGCACAGGAGGCAGAGCATTGGACCTGGGTTCAAATCCTGCCTCAATACATTTAATAGCAGTGAGACCTTGGGCAAATCACTTACTGTCCCTGGGCCTTATAGGTTAAAAGGAGGAAGGTGACCTCCATGACTCCAGCATGAATCTGACTCTCCCTCTGACGTCACCACGGCCCAAGGTCTCTAGGACGATGATGGCGGTGACCCTGGGCTCCCAGTCCAATGCTTCCAGTTTGGGGGAGGAGGAGGATGGGGAATCCTGCTCTCCCTCTGACGTCACTACAGACCGTGGGGCTCCCATTCCGATGACCCTGTGGGTGGGAATCCCGCGCTCTCTCTCTGACGTCACCACCGCCCGAGGCTTTCCATTCCAGCGTCCCTAGTGCGGGGCGGGGGGGGGGGGGGGGGGGGGGGGATCACGCTCTCCGCCTGACGTCACTTCAGCTGTCCCGGTGGCCCACAGCGATCCTGGTGGGAGTGGGGAGGAGCCCCTCCCCCAGGACCAACGCGGTGACGTCACCGGGAGGCGGTACCACGCCGCGGGGTGGGCGGGGCTCCGGGAGGGGGCGGGCGCGCGCCTTGGCCGGGGCGGGC